CATGCTGGTTTATACTTATTTTAATCATACAATTTAAATAATTATTATATAAATCAAGGGAAAGGGGGAAAGAGAAGTGATGTTTCTGTGAAAACTTAAGTTGAATGCTTTGAAAAGATTTGATAACAGGGTAATAAGTAAAAAATAATACTGCTGAATTAGATGAGAACAAGGGAGCTGTAAAATATCAGGGATAAATTATTCTTTAAAAAAAAAAAAGTAAGACAGAAAAAGATTCTGTACTCAGATTGCTTCACGTGTCTTTTAAAGCAGTTTTTCAGTCCATGGGTCATGAAATCAACTTAGTAGGTTTAAATCAATTTAAAAAAAGAAGAAGAAATGTATTAGAACATATCAGAGTACATTACACCTAGGAAGGAGCATTGTTTCATGAAATTTTTCTTGAGTTTTTAATATTTATTTTATACACATACGTAAAATGTGAAAATGTGATAAGCTTGAAAAACAAAGCTAAAGAAATTGAAACTGGAAATATTAGAGTGTGTATTAAGGGCATGATTTATCCCAGAAAGAAGAGGAAATTCAAATTAGTGGATCCAAACTTAAAGCAAAGGCTTTAGTCCAACATCAAAAGGTTGGTGAATGAATGTATATTTTTGTGCTTTGTGTTAAAATGAAATGTTTAAGGTATGTATAAATGGTTTTATATTTAAGTTTACCTTTTTAATTGACCAACAACTACAGATCTCTGTGTCATGTGGTAAGAGTTTCAGCATATTTTATTGTACTTATTTCCCTCTCATACTTCTGTATTATATACCCCCCACCCCTGCTTTCTCTGCTACTTAATAGCTGTGTCACCTAAGAGTCATTCTATAGGCCTCAGTTTACTTTTTGTGAAATAAGATTATCCGTCAGATCTCTTGTTATTTGGCAGTGCTTAATAGCCAAATTGATAAAGTAAATTCTTTCTTGGTATTTGCCCATCTAAATTTTTAGTAAATGGTAGACATTCCATTTTGGGTTTTTTGTTGTTGTTGTTTTAAGCACTGAAATCCCTGTATTGCAGCCTTAGGGGGCATCATTCACATATGCCAGTCAAAATGGCCATCAGTAATAAGTCTACAAATAATAAATGCTGGAGAGGGTATGGAGAAAAAGGAACCCTCCTACACTGTTGGTGGGAGTGTAAATTGGTATAGCCATTATGGGGAAAAGTATGGAGATTCCTTTCAAAACTAAAAATAGGGTTACCGTATGATCCTGCGATCCCATTCCTGGGCATATATCCCGAGAAAACTCTTAACTCAAAAAGGTACATGCACCTCAATGTTCATAGCAGCACTGTTTATAGTAGCCAAGACCTGAAAGCAACCTAAGTGTCCATCAGCAGATGAATAGATAAAGAAGATGTGATATATATATACAAAGTGGAATACTACTCAGCCATTAAAAAGAATGAAATAATGCCATCTGTAGCAACATGGATGGACCTAGAGATTATCATATTAAGTGAAGTAAATCAGAGAAAGACAAATATCATATATCATTTATATGTGGAAACTTAAATTCTGTAGATGAACTTATTTACAAAACAAAAATAGACTCACAGACATAGAAAACAAACTTATGGTTACCAAGGGAGATGGGGGAGGGAGATAAACTGGAAATTTGGGGTTGGCATATACACACTACTATGTATAAAACAGGTAAAAAACAAGGATGTACTGTATAGAACAGGGAACTATAATCAATATCTTGTAATAACCTTTAATGGGAAAGAATCTGAAAAAGATATATATATATATCTGAATCATTTTGCTGGACATCTGAAACACTGTAAATCAACCATACTTCAAAAAAAAGTAAATTTCTTTTTAAAAAAAGAGTTTATTGGCCTGTTTTCCAATGGAAACAACTATTACCTCACTAATCAACTCCTAAACTAGGTCTTAAAGGAAAGCAATTTAATTGGATTAATTCATGCTGAAGTGTGAATAACAATCCTACAAACTTCCCAGAAATTGTTTTCCTTTTTAAAAAGGGTATTCTTTTTAGGTTAAGTTTTAATCTGATATTTCAGACAGAGGACCAAATGAGGTAAACATTTGAGACTTTGTGGGAAAAGCTCTTTC